CAGACCCGGGAAGCTGGAATTGTGACAGTACCTGGAATACCAACATCTGGAAGGCTGAGGCAGGAGGATTGCTGAGAGAAACCCTGTTTGAAAACCACCCCCTGACCCAAGAAAAAAGATAGACAAAAATGCTGTCAAATCTGGTGTGAGGACTAGGCCCTGAGTCTGCGCCGCATTGCAGGGCCCTTCTGCTGCACTGACACAGACCACCCCCTCCAATTTCCATGCTCTGACAGTGGCTCAGAGCCTGACCGTCTAGACACCAAGGACCAGAGACAACAGGCAGCACCTGGTCCTCCAGACACTGAGGGGGAAAATGTCCTGTTCAAGACTGTTTGGCCTGCTGGGTCATCTAGCAGAAAACCCGCTGTGGCACAACCGGAAAAACCGGCTCTGAGAGGTGGGTCCTTGCTGGCTCCCCTGAACCAGGCAGCCAGGCTGCCGCTGGGAGTCTGGGAACAAACTCAGTGAGAACCTGAGTACCTTCCTGGCCACCGTAATTACAGGAATCTGAATGCTTCGGTGTTGCTGTCCTCTCCTTTCTCCTACTTATTCTAGATGACAGTGAAGTTTCTACACCCGGATAATCCTTCCGCCAATACAGCAATCCAAATCAGACCAAATCGAACTCAATTAGAAAAAGCCCACATTTAATGGATACAGCGCTCCCGGGTGGCCTTCTATTTTGTCTTTTGCAGTCTGCTTACTATAAGATCAGTAATATTTTAAAGATTTGCCTCAGACTCCGCAGACTTGAAGGCAAGCTCTGTCAAGTCCGCTGGGCATCCAGGGCTGAGGGTTGGCTTTCAGTTGTCTTCAAATGCCCTTCCCAGGTAGCTTTTTAAAACTTGCTTATCAGTTGACAAAGAAAGACAGCCACTAAAGATAGATATTAAGGAAATAAACTCGGCTACAGGAAGTAGCATGAACTATTGCCCAACGTGTGTAAGAAAATCAGTGTGTCTGCCTGGAAATACACTGTGCACATACTGGAGCACACACACACAGATGCTCATGCACACACGTGTACATATGTGCACACACAGATACTCATGCACACATGTGTACATATGTGAACAAAGACAGATACTTTTGCACACAGTGTACACCCAGACATACATATACACGCCCATCACACACACGTGCACACACCTTTAGACAAGCAAGTGAGCACTTGTATACTGCAAGCGAGTGGTACGAAATGAACTGGCTGGAAGGTCAGCTAAACCCCAAATCAACTACCCGGTCCGATTTCCACATTCTCCTCTTTCAAAGGTCAGTACTAAATCATAGTCTCTCACACTTCACCTCTAATGTCCAACACCACCGACCATGACCCTGGAAATGTGGATTAACAGCTCGTGTTAGAGCTAGCTTTAACACTGGTAGAGCCCCGTTTTCTTCCTAGTAAGTGTGAAGTGGGTGTGGCCTCTTCTTGGTCACAATGTTGTTTGGTTAGTGGTTCCCTATTGGACCCCTGGTGGGATGGCCATCACCCATATCCCAGCAGGACACTGGGTGCAATAGAGACATTTCCAACACATCCCAGTACTACACAGACTGTCACACATGCACAAAGAGGAGGGGCCAACACTGGCTGGAGTGAGGAGGGATGGCAAGAGCCTGGGAACAGCACAGACAAACCTCTGCAAGCAGTGACAATCTTGGGAGTAGGGAGAGAGCTGAATGGGTCACAGGCAGCCAAAAGCAGACGGTGAGTGCAGGCATGCCAGACACACTCAGCCTGCAGTTCTGTGTGAAGCTTGATCTCATATCCTGTGG